CCCCCCCCCCCCCCCCCGCCACCCCAAGGCCGTCCCACTACACGAGGGGAAGGCGGCTGCAGCCAGCGGGCTCGGACTTGGATTCCAGCCCCCCGAACGTTTGGCAGCAGGGTCGCCTGTGGGGCTCGGGGCTCGCTGGCCCCCTGCTTTGCAGGCGGCTGGTTGCAGCCAGACTCTGCCCCTCATCTCTGGGCCCTCCCTCCCGCCCTGTCTCCTGTCCTGGGACCATTCGTCCTAGGCTCCACTCCCAGGCAAAACACTGAGATCCCTTCCCCAAATTTTTAAATTAAATTTAATTAATTTACTAAGAATGTAAAGTAAAAAAGTATCGCATGTGAAATGAAATACGAAGCATTATCTCAGCTGTGTAAAGAGAAAATGTGTGTGCGCGCGCGCACAGTGGAGCGACTGTGAGGGCCTGCCCCATGTTGTCCCTGGAAGTTTCTGGGTGGTGGAATCTGGGTCGTTTTTACCTTTTTTTTTTACCCCAGCCTTTCCCTACTTTCAAGTTTCTTCAATGGGCATGTATTTTTACCCCCTAAAATCAGAAAAGCAATACACATTTTTTAAAAAGAAAAATATTCCTTCCCATTCTACCAGAAACCAACTTTCTCCTTCGTTGAGAAACCACTCTTGTGTTCACAGAGCAAGTCGCAGGAACGCTTCTGCCAGGCCTGTGGAGGAGAAGACACACTGGGCTGGACTGGAGGAGGGACAGCCCGGGAGAGACAGGGCTTGCATCAGGTACCAAAGAAGGCCACAGTTCTCCCTCCCAAAAAACGGACGCAACACAGTGTATGATCGCAAGAATCCAAACTGCTTAGTAACCCACCCACCAGGCTTTGCGTTGCTCCATTTGCTTCATTTTCCACTTCCTCAGGAATCTCTCTCACAACACACAAACCTAGAGAAGACCAGCCTTGAGAACATCCCGGGATGTGGCCAGACTTCGGATGTCTTGACAAGGAAAGCTGGATTAAGAGTTATAAATCGGGGCGCCTGGGTGGCGCAGTCGGTTAAGCGTCCGACTTCAGCCAGGTCACGATCTCGCGGTCCGTGAGTTCGAGCCCCGCGTCGGGCTCTGGGCTGATGGCTCAGAGCCTGGAGCCTGTTTCCGATTCTGTGTCTCCCTCTCTCTCTGCCCCTCCCCCGTTCATGCTCTGTCTCTCTCTGTCCCAAAAATAAATAAACGTTGAAAA